GCCTTCCTCTCCTCTCCCACTCTTCCTCCCCACCCACCTTTCGAGCTCCTTCCTTGACATCCCCCACTTTTCTCTCCAACCTGCCACCCCCCTCTGCTGTGTGTTGCTGTTTACCGCTGGCTAATGGAGCTGGACGGATGCTTTCCTGTTAAAGAAATCCAATTACACTTTCCAACATAGACATTTCCTGGCCATTACCGATGGAAGGACAGCGCTGACTCACTCACAGAACCCCACCCCCCCCACCTGAGGACTTACCCGCAGAGAGAAGTGGGATTCATAAAGGGATGAAAATTTAGATGCAACTTTGCATCAGGCTGAATATTTCACAAACTCTTCCTGACAGCTGGAGTCTGTTTGCTCATGGGAATCTCATTCAAATCTCATTAGTAATTTGATCAGTTCTCATCTCCACAGTGCGTCAATCAGAGGCTGGCACTCCAAGGCCTTGGATCGATCCTCTCTGATGATGAAAGAGCAGATATTGGAGCCCATGCACATTAGATAATAGTCCTAAATCAGTATGACAGAATAAAGCTGAGCATCCCGTCCGACTGCTGGGGACTCTGGGCCTCTACAGTTTTATGAGATCCCCTCAGCAAACAATATGCTTTCCCCTGAAGAGTGTGTGTTTGACCCGGGAACAACAATTTCACATGCTGAGTGTGTGATTTCCACAAGAGAGGGGAATGTGCTATAGTAAATATCTGCTGCTGACCCTGACCCTGAGGAGAGGAGGGAATTCAGAACATATGGAAAGTGCAACGCTCTAACAGCCTACACAGTGAAGTCACTATGACGATATTCAAAAACAATATAACTTGTTTTGTAACCCTGCTACTGAGTCATACAACCAGTAGGTTCATTCATCATTCTGAACTACTGTATAAAAAACATATGGCTGAAAATACTTTAATTAGCCAACTATTTTGTTTTGTATTGAATCCATTAATCTTGGTCTATAAAATGTCAGAAAATAGCATCTTTAAATTACTTGTTTCATCCGACCATCAATCCAAAACAACATTAAGAACAATTAAGAATCTGGAATAAGTGAATATTTGGCAAAGTTGTTCATCAACTAATCATTTCAGCCTATATATAATATTTTCACTTGATGTGAAGCAGGTGATTAGCTTAGCATTAAGACTGGAGTCAGGAGGAAATAGCTAGCTTTTTATTTTTTCTTTCACTCTTTTGTTCTTGGTGCTTATAATAGAGCTTTAGAAGTGCTGGTTTTTGTTGCGTTTGGACAGAGACAGGCTAGCTGTTTCCCCTTTATTTCCAGTCATTAAGCTAAGCTAAGCTAGTTGCCTGAAGCTGCCATACTGTATTTACCTAACAGAGTTGTATTGTATTGATGTTTTTATCTGACTCTCTGCAAGAACATAAATAATTGTATTTCCTAAAATGTTGAACTGTTCATTTAGACATGACTTTGGAAGTTTAAATGTAGATATAGCGGATATAGTACAATGGGGTTTTCTTTGGAGACAGAAGAAAACCTTAAAGCAAAGTTCAAATGAAGGCTCAACTTCCCAAGAATGCATTGAGAAAGCAGGAAACCCCTCACAAGAACAGCCCTGTTTATATTCCTGATGATGTATCATTATTGCAGTTAAAAGGAATATTTTGCTTTGATTTATGAAGCTGATTGAGTCTGGGTCACACGCATGGACATAAACCTCTCAATTAGTGTGTCAGTGCTGATAATTGAGCTTCAAAGAGCTCCAGTCGAGGCTGCAGGTGATCTCTCAACAGGAATAAACATCTTGGGTCAATTGTTCCCCCCCAAAAAACAAAGCTCATCCCTCAAAGAGGACGGATTGCATTCAAAGGCACTGTAAAATTAGGTGCTCTTAAAGATAAGACAAAATAAGCCCCACAAAACGTGGCACACAAAGGAGGGAGGGGCAGAAAGGATAAGATAATCTCCAGGGGGAAGTTGTTATGTCTACTATGAAATCAAAGCCTTTTATCATAATACATAATCAGATACTGTCTGTTCAGAGAGATGATAACAAAACTTGCCAGGCTCTGAGCTTCTGTAGCTGCTTATCCAAATATACACAATCGGGGGGAAGATCTACACCTGGCCACCCCAGCTGCCACTCCAGTTTGGTGTCAAATGCTGTCAAATTAAACAAATGTATTTAAATTAACACATAACATGTATTGATCTGTTATGGCCACCTCAATTATTTTTAATAAGTTATTTTAGTTCAAATATCTTCATTTGGGGCCTTTTCCAAGCAAATGATATATATGTAATTGTTAAATATGCATATATTTCTGCTACCAATTAAAGCCACCGTGCCACCCTCTTGCCACCTCTTCACTTAGACCTCGTGATATAAGGAGATATAGAGAAAACCGACAAAGACAAAAAACAATCTGAAATCAGGATAATTTATCTTTAAACTTTAACCATATATTTTAAACAGACGCTTCAGTGACAGGTACAGTAGACAGATGAGATGTGGCATGTGGTTTTTCAAAGGCTGGAATCTGGTCTGACTTTCTAACCATGAAGGTTTAGTTGACAGGCTGCAGACAACCTGCACCACCTCTGTCTGCTCTGGCAACTGGCCCGGACCACAGATGGTCATCGGTGAGGGAGAGGAGAGGACGTCCACCTTCAGCACATTAACTGTCATTCAAACCAGATTACTGCCCTGGACTCTTTTTGACATTAATCTAAATGTGTGGCAGGATGTTGAGTCAGGTGCAGAGCACGCTGATTCCCTTTTGTCCTCCTCTGGTTAAGGTTACTAACCTTAAAAAAGTGCTAAACCTAATGGCTATAATGTTTTATATTGTATATTGTATCCCAAGACTGCATATAAAACTTACTTGCTGTTGAAAATATATACACAAAACGAAACAGGACTGCAACAAGGATGAAAGCCAGACCAGGCAAGAGTGTAATGTTCAATACACCACACAATGTGAAAATTAATCAATAAAAAGAATTAACAAGCTACTGACTGGGTGGTACGACACAAAAGGTAATTAAAATTACATTTCATCGTCTGGGGATAATGAATATGCTGAAGAAACATCATCATCACAAT